CCCAAATGTTGAATGAATGTTGCTTTACTCTTTTAATTATGTATTGTCCTATATGTCATTGTATGTTTCCCCCTTCCTATATAAGTTGTAAGCCGCCCTGAGTCCCCTCAGGGAAAAGGGCAGCCTATAAATAAACTTAACCATAACCATAACCAATATGCAGCATGCTAATTTTCTCCATTAATATCATTTGAACTGGTGTTCCTATGATCAGGAAGGTTGAGAAGCTTAGGTCAAGCTTAGGGACAGATTCATAAAGTATTGTACCTTCATCAGTGGACAATGTTGTTATCAACAACACAAACAGATGAAGTTTCCTTACCAGGTTTAGTTAAAATCAACTATATGTTGCAATATAAAGTCACATGATTGCTTTGCCATTTATCCCTATTACTACATAGAATCACCCAAAGCATTGTGTTGTACAAGTACTGCTTGTTTGCAAAAGTCTTGTAGGTAAAGTTCCAACATTACAAGGAAAATATTCATGATGTTTTATAGGACAGTATTGGACCTAATGGTGCTTCCCTTGTGGTCTCTTCCTCCCACATCTTTTCTTTGAGCTGAACATGTTTCAAAACATTGGATCACAGGTGAGTGCATCAGATCATTTTTTATACTTTCTGCTGTGTGATGTTTCACTTGTGAAACTACATTGTGATGTAGTTCTGTCTGACATGGAGCCTTTTTTTTGCCAGAGGGAAAGAATGGGTAGTTGGAATCTTTAAAAAAATATCTCAACGCTTTTTGAAACGGGATGGGAATAGAAAGATGAGGAAAAGTAAAAAAAATATACTAAAGAAAATGATTGAGGGCATATAGCAGCTCCCCATCCTTGGATGCCCTTCAGATTTATTGGGCCTGAATTTCTTATAGAGTTCTCAGACTGCATGATCACATACATGAAGAATATATTTACATGATGGGATTAAAATAAACTGGAGTTTTGTAATTGTGAAAAAAGATGTATCTAAATTACAATGAAGAAATAACAAAAGCTTCTACAACTGGAAAAATTGAGAGTCTTAATGAAAGCCTTACATTTTTAATCATCTTGTGCAGTCAATTGTAGAAACTCTATAACCTGAAGACTAGTATAAAAGGAAGGTAATAATATGAGAGGAAATAGCTTCATGTTAAACCATCTTGATCATTGATCATGTGTATTCACTAATGGGTGGGTAGGCTTATTAATTTTTTGTCAGCTTTACCTAGATGTGTGCAATATAGTTAGACAGAGGGGGGAGCTCTCAATCAGTGGACAGAGATTTTTTTTTATAGCACATAAATTCTCTTCATACCAGTGCCTCTCACTGAACAATCTATATGAATGGCTGAGTAAGTTATTTTGCTTAAAGGCAGGAATTTGCCCAGCTTGCACAGATGTTTGCAGCAAACAAAATAAAAAAGTCAGTACAAACAGTCAGATCATCAGGTGATACAATAATGCCACTGAGGAAGCCTTGTGGGAAAGGGCCACCAGGCTCTTAAGCATTCTGTCTTAGGAATTAGGGATGTTGATGGAGTGCATTTTAAAAAAGCAATCCCCTCAAAGCAGTCTGAGGTGGTTTCATTGGAGCCATAAACATGTATGTAGAAAGAAGTACTTGATATTTGTTGTCTTTCCTAGAATTCATGCTTAGGAAGCCTGTCCTTTGTTTTGTAACAAACATACAGCATTTTGGAAAGAATTCTTTTAAAAGGATAGTTATTTTAGGGGGTCACTATTGTTCTGCCAGGGGGATGGGCACTTCACAAGCATTTTGATTTTTGCCATAATCCCTATTAACCACATGGAATCAGAATGCCTAAAACCCATAGCAAATGAGGGCCATAAGGCCCAATATGTGGTATGGGAGCTATCTGATTCCTAACAAAAAAAAAAATCATCAACAGAATTGGATCACAATTTAGAAATGTCAGCTGTAACAAACTTTGCATACCTCCCTGAAGACTGGGTGAAGAGTCAGACTTGGAATGAATAGCAAGGCCATTCACAGATGCCTGTATACTGGGCTGTGTAGTTCTTGACTGACACATTTAGGGCTGACAGCCTACTATAAAAGGAGTGCGTCAAAGGACAAAAAGCTGGCAGAGGTTGATATTTGTCTCTGTACCATTTTTCATCTCCACCTAGTTCCTAACCCACAATAACTAATCATGGATGATATTTACAAGGCAGCAGTAAGTAAAATTTTCACACTCTGTTGTATTAAATCTCAGACAGATTCTAAATATATTTAGGATTGTAAGGAAAATATTTTAACAAAGTGCAAGTCCTGATATTCAATTAGATGTCCTAAATGTTTTACATATTATGATATTCATAAAACTAATAATTTAGAATGTATTTTTTAAATTGGGTGCAGGGCATTATTATATATCCTAAGTTTCTTAGGTATCGGAAGATGGTTTTGATGAAGTCCTAACTGCTTATATTTTCTATGGAAATTCAAAAATCTATTGAAGTACAAATCTAACTAGAGCTGAAAGTAATGTAAAGTTCATGGCTTTGACTGATTTTAACCTGTTTGCTGCATAGGTTTGGACTGTTAATATAAGTGCACATTTTTTTTTTTTATACTCAAAATGTTTTGCAGAAAATGGCATAGTTTCCTATCATTTTGTCTTTTCTATGAAAATACATTTTTCTAGATTTCTGTCTGACAAATTGAAAAATTAGTTACATGTGAAGATACATTTTACAAATTCTAGCGGTGTATAAATGTGCTTAATGAAAAATGGGTCACCAGAATCCTGGCTGCTTAAAACTCTTCAGGAGATTTAGACCACTAAAGAGTTTAAGTAATATTTATACTGGTAAGTAAAAGAAATAATTGGATAATGTAATGACCATAATAGAAATATCCTCAGTAATTCCACTTTAAGTGCAGATAGAAGAACAGTTCTTGCTATATCTGTGGAGTAACCGGATAGAGGCACTTCTTAAGAAACACTAATAAGACAGATGAGAGAAGGGCAATTCCTGCCTTGAGCTCATCCTGATGAGTGCTCAGCTCCCCAGAGTAGCTTTAAACAGATGCTAGGTACTGTAAATAATTCCCCACACCAAAAGAATAGTTCAGAATTGGACACATTTCAGTTTAAAATAAAGATTCCTTTTTATTATTTATTTTTTAAATATACAAAACCCTATAGCTTGTCACTAACTTCTTGATTCTGAATGCTTTGCCTATAGTGAAAAAAGAGCTGGAATTTACAAATCACTAGCACTCATCTTGAAGTTATTAAATTATTGTGTCCGTCTTTCAAGAACCTGTCAGCTCAAAAATTTGAGGAAATATTATTAGTAATACCCATTGCAATTTTTAAATGTTTTTTATAATGAAGTACTTTGTTATTTCTTACTTCTAAAATTTTTAGCATTCTTATTTAATAAAATAAGAATATTTTCCTGTTTTTAGCAGTGTTTTCAGAAGCTAACTTCTTAATTTCCCAACTTTGGACTCCTGAGGAGCAAAAACTTTTTCTAGCTTGGCTCTAGAGTGAAGTTGCCTTGAATTATTACTTATGTGCCAGTGGTATCCCATTTACTTATTTGATTTTCAAAATCCACCCGTCATGCTTTACAGTTGTGTGCAAATGTGAACCCAGTATCTTTTGACTGAGTCTCTTGTCATAATGCCACATGAAGTGTGTCATATCTTAAAAGGTGACTCGGAAATGAAAAAACAAGATATTCTTCCTGTATTTATTGCAAATCTGGTGATAACTTTAAATGTGTTTTCAATGATCATTTGAAAAAACTATCACTCATATGGACCTCTGAAATTCAATGGATTTATCACTTTCTCACTCATCTCTTATGCAGAGATAAGTTTAGAATGGCTTCCAGATGCTTCTAAACTGTACAACTTTGCCAGAGACATGTTACTAGATTAATGTCTCCTGTGATAAATGCCAATGTCAGTCAGCTTCTGGGAACAATCAGAAGTGTTATCTGTCTTCTTAGCACCTAAGCCACTAAGGCATAAAAATAGCCAGCTTGCCAAAATAGTCCAACTATGTGGGCTGCACAACAGAGAGGCATTTGCTGTCTTTAGACTTTTCAGCTATCCTGGGCTGTTGAGGGGAGGGAGGGGTCTGGCCATTACAATGAAGGAACAATCACAGCTGCTCCAGTTCCATCACAGTGGCTTAAATAAATGGGTTCAGTTTTCACTATGAAATTTTTGAAGAGGCATCTTTTTGCTTTTGTTATCTCAGCAGTGTAGGCTCTACTCTGCCTTCTGGTGCTGCCACTCCTCTTCCATCATTCTTTTTGTCAGATTTCCCCCTTTAAACCAATTAGGTGTTTCAGGTAAAAGCAGGTGGCAATGGATTAGTGCATAAGTGAAAACAATCTAAGAGAACATGTTCTTCATGAGAGCCTTAAAGAAGAGGAGAGGGAGCTGCATAAAAGGAAGGAACCAGTTTCATGCCCAGAATGCTCTATCATTATTTGAAACAAAGACCTCTCTGGAATGTTTCTGTAATCATTTATGAGGAAAATGATTAATTATTCCATCATATATCTAGGTCTTTGTAGGTTAAAATTATCATACTGACTTTTGTTGAAAAACGAGTATCTACTACAGGTGATCTCAAAAGCTCTGAACTCTATTCCCATAAAACCTGTAGTGTAGTATCATGAATTAATGGCTATTTCTAAGTAAGCTTCTCAGACCTCCTTTAGAATTACAGTAATCAAAAGAAGTGATCAATGCACATATTTTTATAGTTGGGTGAAAGGTTTGTAAATGAGCAGCATCCTTAACTGGAGAATTGAATCCCTGATAACCTGTCAATGACTTTCAAACTAGGGCTGGGTTCATATCAGGCTGAAGCTTTGAAAGAAATCAGCTCCTTCCCATCCCAGCCAAAATGCTATTAATCATAGAATATTTTATCTTGTATAGTCTGTTTCTAACATGGGCTATCTCTCACTTTGTCCAGGTTTTTATAGAGAGAACAAAATAATTAGGCATCTGAATACAAACTTTGGACAACTACAACTCATTTGAGGTAGATGCTAAAAACAAAGGCTGCCCATGCACACTTTGAAAATTATTTGGAAGTTCTTCAGTTCTTGTGCCAACAAGACCAGGACAGCTGCCAGCTGTTCATTAAAGCATACACATTTTTTTATTTTTTATAGGCTTCTATAGAGACCTAGCAAAAGAAATACCCTATATAAGAGTCACACTAAAGACACACTTTTATGATTTAACTCAGTGAAACAGGAGCAGAATCTTTTTTTCATGTTTTGGCAAGTTCTGAAGCACTTCTTCCAAATCATCTTCAAAGCATGAAGAGCCTGGTTGAAAATATTGGGAACAGGATAATAACCAGACAAGTCCCAGATATCAAAACTAATGGGATTAAATAAAAGCTTCAGCATCTTCTTTTTAAAAAAAATGTATTTCTAGGAAGACTGCCCGTCTCACAAAATAGTGTTTCTAATGCTCACCTCAAAAAGATATTGTAATTTATAATTGTTAGTAAGAATCTCTTCGAAGGCAACAGTATCAACAATAATACTTTCCAAATAGGAATTGATAATCAAATCCATTCTAGCCCAGTGGTCAAATGTGACCAAAATGGGTTTAGAAAATCAATAATATTTTGGTGAACTTGACATAACCATCCATGTCAACAATATCTTGCCCCAATTTCGTTAGTAAAAAAGTAGGAATCTTTCAACCTGTATAACAATGGTTTCCATCTCATGATGAAACATATGGATTCTCAGAGTTATACTCTAGTACAGGGGTGTCAAACACGCAGCATCACGTCATGTGATATATCGCAACTCCCCCCTTCTCTAAACATGGACCATGGGCCGTGAGTTTGACAGCCCTGTTCTAGTATAATAAGAATTCTAATTTAATTTAAAAATTAGAAGAGTAATTCCTAACATAGTTACGAATTCTGCATATACATACAGAAAATGTGTATACATTTCTAGACTTAACCTTTAACTATTCCTTCCTCCCACCTTCCAGGATTTGCAGCTAATATTCTGGTTATCTGATTTGTAGCTCTGTCAATTTTACAGACAGGTTTTTCAGAACCTAGTGCTTCAGCATTTTGCTCAAGAGATAAAATAGTTATCCATCTATTAATACCCAATCCTGAGCTGGAAATAACTAGCAAGGTTGGACAGAATCTTTCTAAGTTGTTCCCCTGCTAAGAAAATAGAATAATATCTTGAATTTCAGTCAACATTTGCTTCCTTGGATAGACCTATACTGTGATTAGAAGGACATTCCTGCCTATTTTAACTGGCTGATACAAATTTAATAGCTGAAAACAGCCATTTTGTATTTGTTCATGTAATTTCATTAAATCATATTTCTTAGGAACACACTTCTCCTATCTCCTGTTATTGTTAACTAATTGTTTAGTTAAAAATAAACTTGAATATACCATATTTTTTTGGACTATAAGATGCACTGAAGTATAAGATGCACCAAGATTTTGAAGAGGTAAATTAAAAAAGGGGGGGGTTTCCCTCCCCAGCCCCCAAGAGCACTCTGCAGGCCTCCTAAACCCTCTGCACGCCCCATTTTTTGTGAAAAAGGGACATGCAGAGAGTTTGAGAGGTCTGCAAAATTCTCCTGGGGGCTGGGGAGGGCAAAAATATGATACGTGGGGGGTTTGGGAAGCAAAAAATGGGCCTGTTTTTCACAAAAATGGGCCCTTTTTTGCAAAAAACAGGGTGTGCAGACAGTTTGGAAGGCCTGAAGAGTGCTCCTGGGAGCTTGGGAGGGCAAAAACAACCCTGTTTTTGTGAATAATGGGCCCATTTTTTGCTCATTTTTGCCTTCCCCAACCCCCAGGAGCACTTTGCAGGCCCCTCAAACCCTCTGCGCGTCCATTTTTACGAAAAGCAGGATGTGCAGAGAGGGGTTTCGGAAGGCCAAAAATGCTGCATTCAGTGTATAAGATGCATCCAGATTTTCACCCTCTTTTTTGTGGGGTGGGGAAGGTGTGTCTTATACTCTGAAAAATACGATAGTTTTATCTCCTTTGGTGCTATTGCTCTTGAGCACCAGCAGTTTGAAGACTAATTTATCTGTTAAAATGTTTATGTTTGTATCTATATGTTATTGGTTCAAGGTAGTTGAGTGGACATAAAACAAATTGGCAAAGTAGTGAGTTGCTATGTCAGACAGAGCTTTTCTCTCCTTGATCATTAGGGCTACACTCCTATATCCATTTAGTGGATTAAATTCCACTAAACTCAATGACACATAGCACTGCACTGGAAACATCTGATCTACTGTGTTGATTCAGAAGTTACGTCTCTGACAGGTGAATGCCATCCCATAATAATAAAGCTGGACAACTAAACTTGATTGCTGAGAGAAGGGATCTGCATAAGTTTTATATTTGCAATCTAATTTGTTGTTTTAGAATAATGAAATGATGGTATCTGTATATTTTTACACCCTTTTAATTTTATATATGTTTTTAAAGATAAACCAATGAAGTTTAATTCATTGTAAACAGCTGTACTAATATTATAAGAACATGTAAATGAATGGACATGTGTAATTTATACTTTGCTTTAAAGACAAGACAAATTATTAATTGAAATAATTAATATGGATAAGTTACAAAAATTAAAATAATAAAATGCAGCCTTCTAAAGCCCAGATTTACTTCAGTTTTTGAATGAGCACAGCTACTTCTGACAGAACTTACAGATAGAAACTACTATTTGAAATTCAATTTTAAAATAAGCCTTTGAGCCAACTGGAAGATGGTTGTCTGCAATTTTTTATTACACAATCACTTCATCAAAAGTCAATGATTTGGGTATATTCAACTGCATTTACAATTTGATGAGCACTATTTAGTTTCCCTACTTTCAATATTAAGTTGAATCAAGACACACTGGTAATTTAACACACTTAAGAAGATTGCTTCAGAGTTCCAAATTCTAGCAAAAAAAGAAAAACCCACCCTACTGAATTCAACATTTAATAAATATATTCTATGATTCATAATTTAATTTCATGAAAGATTTTCACCAAATCCATATTTAGAGTTTGATATATGATTGCAATCTGTACCCTAATATGTATTGCTACAAAGTGCATTTTTGTGTCTTATTATTTATAGAGATTATAGAGATTAAATGGTTAGGAAAACAGCTCTTCAGTATGAAAATTACTAAATATGTAAACAAACATTCATCAATGGAATCTTTATTTTAATAGGTTGAGCAGTTGACAGAAGAACAAAAAAATGGTAAGTATATAAACTTCATTATTCCAATTACCTCACATTAGTGCGCTCACATTTGCAAACCTGCATATTCCCCTTTCTCTGGTTCCCAAGTTATAGCTTCTGCCTCCACTGCTTTTCTTTCAAAAAATCTAGGGACAATTTGACCTGTAAAACATCTACAAGAAGCTGGATGGAATGACTGATTTTCCATTTTGGAATAGTATTATTATACTGGTGTGTGTGTGTGTGTGTGTGTGTGTGTGTGTGTAATTGTTAAGGGTTATACTTCAATAGGAACTTCTGCTGCTTGTGAAATGCTGGCATGGGACCACCATTGTGGACAACAGATTTGCTTTGTTTCAGAACTGTAAACTGGTACCAGCGATGCACTCTCTTGGCTTTGCTGCATTTATTTATCTGATTTCTAAGACTGTTCAGTTGAAAAATGTTTCCAGTCCCTATACTGAAGGAAATTAGTTGTTACAAATTATATATGCACACGCACACACACAAACATATATAAATGTACATCTGTGGGTTTTTAGGCGTGAGACAGAGTGATTTCACTTCTTTCTTCTTCTCATTCATTTCCCAGCTTTAAATTGAGAAAGAGCACTGAAGCTCACAATTACCAATCCTCTCTCCTTTTTTGCATCTCTGTCATGATATCTGGATGTTTTCCCATTGATTGGTGTCATTTGAAAGTTAAACAAGGCTGGAGAAATCAAACAGTTGCTTTGCTTAGCATGCCTTGCAGGTGCATAGTCATCATGCCACAATTTAGTAAAGGGACAGAATAGGTGTATTCAAGGCACAATAGGAATCAACAGTGCTCATGACTTGGTCTTGAGGTATCACACTCTTAATTAGTCTTGCTTCTTTTTCTCCAGAATTTAAAGCCGCTTTTGATATATTTGTCCTGGGCGCAGAGGATGGATGTATCAGCACAAAGGAGTTGGGGAAGGTAATGCGCATGCTGGGACAGAATCCTACCCCTGAGGAGTTACAGGAGATGATTGATGAAGTAGATGAAGATGGTGAGCAATTTCTGCTGGGTGTTTATACAGTATAAGGCTGTAAATTTAGATTTGCTGTATTGTGTTTTGAAATCTAACATAATATGGGGAATAGTTCAAACAGAGAAGAAGTTAACTTGGTGCCCTTTTTTCCTTGACAGGCAGTGGTACAGTAGATTTTGATGAATTCTTAGTTATGATGGTCCGGTGTATGAAAGATGACAGCAAAGGAAAATCAGAAGATGAACTTTCAGATCTCTTCAGAATGTTTGATAAGTAAGTGGCTCTATTAGCATAAGCCAGAGTCCACGAGAATACAATAATCAAGTTGAGTCTCCATGAGTTTCATACTGATAACGCAAGTAAGATTGAAAACCTTACTGTCATGGTTGAATTCCATATGTAGATACTTCTTGTTAGCAGTCACAGTTGGGACTGGAAGTTTAGTCATTAAGTGTCACTACATGAAACCATGATTGTGCTTATGATATAATTTCAGCTTTCCTTGCTTTACAGACCTACTGAGGTTTTAAATACAAGGATTTAAAATTACTCTTTTATCACCATCATAACTGTGAACAGTTGCTAAATGTGGCAATTGCTAAGTGAAGACTATTGTGTTTAATTTCTGATATAAAATTAAAGCTGTTTAACAGATGTGTATTAGTAATCAAGAAATCAACATGACCATTACATAGAAAAGAATTCTTTTGTAATATAATGCTTCTTGTCCTCATTGTTCTGTCCCCCCCCCCATTTATAGTTATTCAAGGATGGATAACAATTTTAATAATGTTAGCAATAAAAAATAAAATTTATTCCTGAAGGCTAAATGCCAATGATAGAAATCAGGACGGAAATATACTATGGGCAGGATTTGTTTCAGAAGTGAGTAAAACCATTCATTCTGTCTCTTCCCCCTTTTTTTCCTGCCCCCTTCTTTACTAGAATAGTTCTTACTGATGTATGTTATGACACACAGTCCTTCACACAACAACCAGGCAGGAGGCCTGATACCAGAGAACCTACCTGACTGGAGGGCAACACAATCTGCAGTTTTCTTTGCCTTCTTGAAATCTGTTTCAATGAAGCATGGATGAACAGTTCATGTGCAGAAGTGGCTAATTCCTACCAAACCATGAAAAAGAAAAATATTTTATTAGAATGTGATTCTTTTCATACATGAATGAATATAAACGTCTTCAGTCTGGGTTCAGACCAGTTCTTGAGGTAGAATAATCCTTTGGACTACTAAATGTTCACCAGTGACTGAAAGACAGATGGGCATGTTTGTGTTGATTTTGCTTGATCTCCCAACAATATTGTCAACTTGGATATTCTCCTGTAGTAACATTAATTCCACTGCTGTTGGCAAGGAAGTCTCAGAAAGCAAATTGGGTGACTCTGCCTCTGACAGCTGTGCTGTGAGACCACTGTGCTGTGGAGTGTCATAAAGCTCCTTTTTGCCTCTGGAACCATTTAACATAAGATCTGCTTTGGAGTGGGCATTAGCAGATTGGAAATAAAGTACCATCACTATACGAATCAGATCAATTTTTCCATATCTGATTCATGTTCAGAACAAAGCATGTTCTGAAACCAGCGATGGAGTATTTAGGCCAATAAACTGTGACTGGATCTTTAGAAGAGGCAGAAGGAGATCTAACAGATAGTTTGTTCCTAGAAATAGAAATCAGAGAATCTTCCCAAGCTAAATGGGGCTGTGTTCCCTTAGAAACACTGTGTTTGTGGCTTCTCCTAAAATCACAACTGCTTTCGAGGAATCAAGTCATCTCTATGTCCAGGATTGGAAGTTCAATTGATATGCCAACTTTGTTCTTTCATAACTATTGTTTATGTATTTAGCTATTTTAGGTACTGGTAACCACATAATTGAGTTACTATAATCTTCCCTGTGCTCAGTCTGGAACTAGATCAGAATTATTGTAGCCAGGTTGCTGAGTCAAGCATATATTCCACGTCTGCTCAAGTAGCTGCAGAGGCTGCCAGGCATCATTCAAACTTGTTGTAGTTTTATTTTTTAACATCTAAGGCACTGAACAATTTGGGGCAGGTTATATCTGACAGATTGCCTTTATCTTTATAGAACTGGTTAACACTAGAAGTTTCTGTGGCATATGCAGTATTTTTTTTCTTCCTCATTGGGTAGGCGCAAATTTTAATGATGAGAAGTCTGTTTTGTTTTCCATCTCAGTATTTGGGAAGAGCTTTTGACAATTCAGATGTCATTACCAAGAAGGTTGTATTCTCCAAAATATAATTCCATATATTATCAAACAAAAAGAAATGAAGAGTGTTACAGTAACCTCACAGTATTTGAATGGGAAGAATTCACACAAATATTAAATCTGCTGGAACTTGAATTCCTTTTAGCCATGACATCTGGAATGGACATTCTGCAGGTTGCAGCTCCATTATATCAGGAGAGATGGAAAAGCTGTTTTAGGAATGTAGTGATGTGTCTATGAAATACACATTTTAATAGCTCCAGGAAACTGGTCGCTTGGGGGTTTTGCCATTCCTTTCTTTTTAAAGCTCAGAACTCACATAAATCCCCAGGTGATCATATCTCTTGAAATGAATAAACAAATTGTGATTGGGTCTTTGTTAAGTATGCAAGATGTGCAAAGTAACTGCAGACATTTCCTTTCAAAAAAAAAAGTGAAAAGTAACATTTGTAAAAGGGATTTTTTTAGCTTATCCTTTCTTTCACAGAAACTCAGATGGATACATAGATCTGGATGAACTAAAGCTCATGTTACAGGGTACAGGAGAAACCATCACTGAAGATGACATTGAGGAGCTAATGAGGGATGGCGATAAAAATAACGATGGCAAGATTGACTATGATGGTGAGTTACGTGACCCGTCAAAAGCGCATTCCACAAAAGCGCGGTCAACGAAATCGCGTATGTGACGTCATCACAACGCGACGAAAAAGATCGAAAAATTGAAATAAAAATTAAATTACAGCAAGCCGATTCACATAAAGGTAAGGGTTAGGTTAAGGGTTAGGGTTAGGGTTAGGCTAAGGGTTAGGGTTAGAGCGTTAGCGTTACGTTTAGCGTTAGGTTAAGGGTTAGCGTTAGGTTTTTCGTTACGTTAAGGGTTAGGTTTAGGGTTAGGTTAAGGGTTAGGTTTAGGGTTAGGTTTAGGGTTAGGTTTGGGGGGGTTAGGGGAAGGTTTTAGCTTTATTTTTACATTTTTCGATCTTTTTCGATCTTTTTCGATCTTTTTTGTCGCGCTGTGATGACGTCACATACGTGCTTTCGTCGACCGCGATTTTTGTCGTCCGCGGTTTTGTGGTAGAACCGGTGAGTTATGCTTATATACTGCATAATAGCACAGCCAGAAACTATAAAAACAAACTGAGGACAGGAATCCCAGCCACATCTTAATCAGTAAAAGAATAAGGTAAAAGTAAAGGTTCCCCTCGCACATATGTGCTAGTCATTCCCAAATCTAGGGGACTGTGCTCATCTCCGTTACAAAGCCAAAGAGTCAGTGCTGCCCGAAGACATCTCCATGGTCATGTGGCCGGCATGACTAAATGCTGAAGGCTCATGGAACGCTGTTGCCTTCCCACCAAAGGTGGTTCCTACTTTTCTACTTGCATGTTTACATGCTTTTGAACTGCTAGGTTGGCAGAAGCTGAGACAAGTAACGGGAGCTCACTCAGTGTCTTAGCCATTGAGCCACCATGTCCCTAGTAAAAGAATACCTGCTGGTTAAATGAACGGTAAACTTCTCAAAAGTGCTGTCACCTGCTGAAAATAAAAACACGTATTTATGTCCTGCTTTCTCCTGTTTATCACTCCATAATGGTCTATGGTTAGTTTATGGGTAAGCTTTTCAATATATAGAATTTGTTTTTTGATGATTATTCCAGAAATAACCCAACTTGGATATGTCAACAGACTTGGGGATCTCATGGAAATGGGAATTTAATCATGTAACATTTAGTGTTCTAGCCCTTTGGTCTTTTATAAAGTAACATTAATGTTTGAATTGTAGAAAGGTTTTCATAATTACTGTTTTTATTTTATTTTATTGTATGCCTTTTAGAGTCACACTTTGTGAGATAGGTGGTGTATAAATAAATAAACACATTCACACATACATATGTCCTGTATTTATCATGTAAAAAACCCAAAGAGTTTATCTTTTGCCAGATCATTGGAATCCATGGTCATGCATCTTAAATATTTTTTTCTTTGAAAATTTGGCTTGAGAAATAATAAACACAATTTTTGCCTAGAAAATAATTATGCAAGTCTGACCAAAAGGACCATCCCTAACGTATGAATGGGATGAGCTTTGGCCTAAACAAATCCATCAATCATTGTTGAAAGAGATCCAGGTCCACATTCAGGCATTGAAGGTCACAATGACTTGGATCAAGACCAGTCTTTGAGCCCAAGGGTTATGAGAAAAATTGGAGAACAAAGTACTGCATTTCTCACTGTGCAGGAAATAGCATAAAGAAAGAAAGGGATGAAATGTGGCAAAGGTCAGGAACATTGCCCCATTTTATGAATATGATCTTTGGTTTTTCTCCTTTTGCAGAATTCCTGGAGTTTATGAAAGGCGTTGAGTAAACATGAGAAATTTTGAAGGCAGTATCTTTATTTGAACATCTTCGGTGTTGTCTTTTGATATTTCATCTGATCTGCTTCTCTTATTACTTTCATGAAGTTATGTTGAACATTGTGAAAATCAGGAAAACATGACCCAACTCTTTTTAAGTGCCTCAAATGGTTAATGGACATTGACTGAGCCAGATTATTATGTAGTATAATAATGCCATATGCCATGGCTTCATCATACCTAAAAATGATTCTTAATAGATGACTAGGTTCTGCTGATTACAGTGAAAAATAACACTTTAGTAACTACTGAAACATTTAAGTTATTATCAAACATTTTCATTTAACATTGGGACGTGCTTTTTCTTTTCTGTACCTCATTGTTTGCCAAGTTAAAGTATGTAAAAAACACTGTACAAAAAAGTTTTATTTCCAAAATGCTAATAAAAACAATTGCAAATCAGAGTGTTTGTTTTGCAGAAGATCCCAGGTGTGGAATGCTGTCCTACATGACTATGTGGGGAAAAAAGAATACGTATCTGTGTGTGTGTATGTTCCAACGTAATTCTGGAACGCCTCAAGCAATTTCAACCAAACTTGGTACACAGATGACTTACTCTTTGGAAATAAATATTATGGGGATAAGACACCCCTAAAACACCCTGGGCGTGTGTTCTTTTCAACTACAGCCTGTTGTGACTTAAAATGGCTTCTACTGTACTGCCGTAAAAGGGCTTCTACTGTGCAGCACAGTGGAGTTGCCATGGTAATGGCTTCACAGTACTCCCCAAGGGGGCTCCCTCTGCTAAGGGGGAAAATCCAACATTAGAAATTACATTTGGCTCCGGACATTTCTCCCCTATAAATAAATAAATACCCGGGCAACGCCAGGTTATCGGCTAGTATTCAATATACCAGACATTCCAAAGTTTCCATTTAAAGTGTGATACTTTCTTTAACTTTCCCTTAGCCTGGTGCTTTGAAATGTATTAGATATTAGCTCAATAATTCTCAGGTAAACATCCTTTAATGTCATCTTACCTGAAGAGCATCAGGTTGGAGAAAGTTGACTAGCAAATGCAATAATTCTCAGAATGTTTAATAGCCTCTGACTGATAGAGAACTATTTCTAGGAAATCAGTATTTATTAGTTTGTTTATCTCAGCTAACATATTCACCCATTTTGCCTGCTTGATTCCTGATGATTAACAGAATTAAAACACCAGTGCAAAACAAAACAAATGAAATAAAAACAGCTGTAATCAAAATAAAAAGCAATTAATCAATTGAATACATTGAGGGCTGACCCAGTATCCTGATCCTATGCCCCATGGATTAATAATTTTAGGAAAAACTCAATTTGTTCAACTTAATTTTGGGTGGTTTCATGTTCCAAAGAGCAAGTGCTGTGATAGAAAAGGTATACTTCTTGAGTCCCCCAAAATGACATTGTCTAAATGAAGGAACCTGGAACGTGTCTTTTCTGCTGTTGCTGATGGGACAGGAGAGACTATTGCAGAGACAGGCAATCCTTCAAATAAAATAATCATATGACATGAAGGGCTTTATTAATGAGCACATATTGGATGCCGATGCAGCTTATAAAGCAGAAGTATAATATGGATATCCTATTGCTTATGTAGACTGCTGCTGTCAAACACAGGAAATTGGGAATTTAAGCAGCTCAAATGAGTATAGGTTTAATGCTCTCAACAAAATCTGAACTATTAGTGGTCAAAGAAAATTGGTGGTAGAGTCAATGGGATTCAAGCTGGGCTGGATTTAGATCTCTTGTGGGTTCGAAAGGACTTGTGTTTGATGATGCATTTGACCCCCCCCCCCTCCTTCAAGCTCAGACTGGTCATCTACAATTGCTTTCTGGACAAATGCAGTTTTCAGATATACTTCAAAGACAGCACCTTGTAAAACACATTGCAGTACTGTACTGTAATCCATTCAGGAGGCGACCAAAACATGAGTGACCATACATAGTGCCTCCTGGTCTAGGAAGAGGCATGTCAACCCAGCTAGGCATACCAGACCAGGGAATCAATTACACAGGAAGATCAGAACTATTTTTATTGAGAGCAGCTATAATAAATAGAATCTTACAAGGGATGCTGCCAGCAATATTATCTTGTTTCCCAGGACTTAAAGAATGTTTCAGTCCTCTTTGCCTACTCTCTTCAGTTAAGGACATAGGTTTAGAAAATAAGTTGATTGAGGACACTTAAGTACTCTTACTGATTATAAAAATCAGCTCCCCCAGAATCTAATCATCTCTCTCTCTCTCTCTCTCTCTCTCTCTCCCTCCCTCCCTCCCTCCCTCCCCCCTCTCTCTCTCACCACACACACACACACACATTCTCATTCTCTCTCCACATCTAATGTGCACCTGCTCATTGCAAAGTTTAATTCTTGAGCTTCTTTCTTTCATCCTTTCATCAGAACAGATTGTTTGCAGCTCATTCCTCGGACTAAGCTGCTGATGGCGTCTGCACTGTTTTTATATAATAGACTTGCCTGGTCCGAGGCTACTTGTTCCCTGTCTTACCAGCTCCTCTTTCCAAATTCTTTAGTTGTCTGCATAGCCTCATTTTACAAATACTAAGCCTTCACCAAGAAGCACATTTATTCAACAGTACCAGGAAAGAAAATTAGTCTCCATTGTTGCTATCCCATAAGAAGGGATGAGTAACAAGAAACCCATTTCTATAATAAGAGCAAGTGTGTCTTTCTAATCATTACCTGAAGGGCTTTCCAAGTGCTACATTCCTCTGCACCAAAAATAAAACCTGAAATCCATGAAAGCCAGATCTCTTTGTAGTATCAAGGCAAGCAGTGCCTTCTCTGAGATACAATAAAATTATGAGACATATTTTTCTCTTTCAAAAGATCTTGGAGAAAAAAGGGAATGATCCATTACTCTAATTTTTATTTCCAAACAAAATTCTTTGGACCCAATGCAACATCTGATTTTATTACCTGTTGTATCAGGCCTTTGAAAAGAAATGCAAATTTCGATTAAACTTAGGTTCAAAAGATTGAGTGATGATTCTTGGTATCCACCGAAGTGTTTATCATTGTTAATGGAAGTTCTGTTTCATGCGCAATTATGCCATCGACAGCTCAATTCACACAATATATTAATCATTGTGGCTGAATCAAGCTATTCTAATTTATAACAAAGCATGCTGTGTGAACTCAACTATTTGGAGGTTATTCTATAAATCATGGTTGAGACGTGTTTATGTGCACTTTATATTACATATGCAACACTTTTGTATTGTATGTATGAACAAAAATTTATTTAACCACTAACTGCCCCAGTTATAGTGAAAAAAATCAAGGCATTTAGCCAGACTAAAATAATTTCTCAATTTTCTATTTAAAAATATTTTTTCTAAACATTTTGAGTGTTCACATTTCAGTTTTATTTTTGAGGAATTCACATAATTTTTGAAAATATATGGGTTTAATGCAAATAGAAAAGTACTACATTTGCCTGCTGTGGAGATGATCCTGAATGTGAAAAAAATACTCCAAAAAACAAAAGTTAGAAAAAAGCATAATCTCTATCAATTACCTTTTTTCAGTGAATCTAAATTCTTTCCACATTTTAAGAATAAATTATTTGGGAAATAAACTAGCCTTCCTTTCAAATAAATGTACACAGTACTTTAACAGCACATCGTTAGATATTAGCAAGGTGTCATGTCTGGAAATTGATATCTGAATCCCATGTTCACATATTTCCAGGAAATTTTGTATCAAAGCATCAGCTGTTTTGGAATGAATAGCCACACTTGTGTTAAAAAATAATCACAAAGATAAGAACAGCTGGAAGCTGAAATCTTTAGCCAACATTCTTGCTTATTTATAAGCTATATGACCTGCTTTTCATTATTACAAATAATTCTAAGCTAGGGCTACGAAATGACATTGAAAAGGGAAATTATATAATATTACAAAACCAATTATATCCAAGATAGATTTTGTTGGGTCTGAGACTCGTTTAAACCTATAGTGTTATATTGTTATGTCATGAGAAAGAAAAGAGAAGTGAGTTTCACTGCTGGGTGGAAATCTTCAATCCTGAGTAAGGTACCTAAAAAGTAAGATTCTTCTGAGCCTAAATTAGTTAGTTCTTAAGTTAGTAAGTAAATAAATGAATACACCTGCCCAGAAACTGACACTTACTTCTTATCCCAGGCTAGCTGGTTTCATTCATGAAATGGCTTCATCAAGCCATTTTCTTCACCTTTCACTTAGATAAAATTGTACCAGCTCACATTGCTCATTCATTTGGTGCCTTTTGCCAAGTGGCTTCACACAAATCACTATTTCTCAGCCTGCAACATCAAAGAAAGCATAATCATGGCAGGTGCTGCTGTGACTGATTAGATGGTGATCTTGTCCATCTCCCACTAATTTCTATTCAAGGTTCAATCTCCTTGTGGCCCTATCCCACAGTCATTGTTGGTGGTTGAAAACGGAAAACTATAGAGATAGCAATAGCAATAGCAATAGCAGTAGACTTATATACCGCTTCATAGGCCTTTCAGGCCTCTCTAAGCGGTTTACAGAGAGTCAGCATATTGCCCCCAACAATCTGGGTCCTCATTTTACCCACCTCGGAAGGATGGAAGGCTGAGTCAACCCTGAGCTGGTGAGATTTGAACCGCTGACCTGCTGATCTAGCAGTAGCCTGCAGTGCTGCATTTAACCACTGCGCCACCTTGGCTCTTGAAATGTTTACAAAGGCCCTCTGTTCATAAGACCACTCTGGGCCTCTGCCTATATCTGATTACATTTCATGCTATAATTGATAAAAATTTGTGTATTGTCTAGGTTTTAAAAATCATTTGGTTGAAACTTTAAATAGGTAGATCACTTAACTTTCTTAAAAGTACAATAATATGCAATGTAACATGTGCTTACCTACTCAAAGTCTCTATGAATCCCGGTTCATTTGCCAAGCATTTGCAGGACTATAGTTTAAAAGCAGAAGCCTTAAAACTCACAGTACTTTGTATATGTTCTAATTCTAATCCTAGTGGACAACCATTTAAATATGAGCCAGCAGTGTGTAGCAGCTGCCAAAAAAAGCCAACACAGTTCTAGGCTGCATAAACAGAGGAATAGAATCAAGATCATGTGAAGTCCTAATACCACTTTCTAATGCCTTGGTAAGGCTGCACTTGGAATACTGCATCCAGTTTAGTTGCCACAATGTAAAAGATGTTGAGACTCTAGAAAGAGTGCAGAAAAGAGCAACAAAGATGTTTAGGGGACTGGAAGCTAAAACATGAAGAACGTTTGCAGGAACTGGGTATGTCTAGTTTAATAAAAATAAGGACTAGGGGAGACATGATAGCAGTGTTCTCAGGGGCTGCCACAAAGAAGGGGAGTAAAGCTATTCTCCA